CAGAAATAGACCCACACAGCTAGAGTCAACAGGTCTTTGCCAGCAGAGCAAAGGCAATTCAGTGGAGAACGGAGAGTGGCTTCAGCAGACGGTGCTGGTACCGCAGGATGCCCACATGCAAAAGAATAAATGAGCTAGACACAGACCTGACACAAACACTCACTCAAATGGGTCATAGGGCCAGCCCAGTGGCACAGCGGTTAAGTTTGCACGTTCTGCTTCAGTGGCCGGGGGTTCGCCGATTTGGATCTCAAGTGTGGACCTGCATACCGCTTGGCAAGCGATGCTGTGGCAGACGTCCCACATATAAAGTAGAGGAAGATGGGCATGGGTGTTAGCTCAGGGCCAGTCTTCCTCAGCAAAAAGAGGAGGATTGGCGGTAGATGTTAGCTCAGGGCTAATCTTCCTCAAAAAAAGAAAAAAAGGATCATAGACGTAAAATGCAAAATGATAAAACTTCTTGAAGAAAACATAGGAGAAAAATCTTCATGACCTTGAATTTGGTGATGAGTTTTTAAATACAATACCAACAGTACAATCCATGAAAGAGAAAAAACTATAGTTTCAACTTTATTATTTAAAACTTTTGCCCTGTAAAAGACACTGTTAAAAGAATGAAAAGACAAACTGTTACCGAAACCAAAGTGGGTTCCCTCCTGCTGAGTTCAATCAGACCGTTCACCAGAAGCAGTCGTCTCACAAAGTGAAGTGTATGCAGCAAATAGGAGAAGATGCGGAATCATTTCCCAAGTCATGGCGTCCCCAAACAAAGGGAGGCAGGGACATTTTATTTCAGGTGGGGAATGAATATTCAAAAGGGAGAGGAGGGTATTTGCTTTCACAGGCTCAGGTGAAAAACTGGCTTCCACATACACTGCAGGTAGGGGAAGAAGGCCTGAGCTCCTCCTGGAGAGGTCTTAGGATTAAAAATAAGCAAAGGTCATAGGCGGAGCTCTCATGGTGAGGTGTGGTCTGGTTCAGGGAGATTGGTGATTGTGTCTCCTTAACATAACAAAAGGAAAAGGGGCCGCCCCGTGGCTGAGTGGTTAAGTTCACGTGCTCTGCTTCGGTGGCCCAGGGTTTTGCTGGTTCGGATCCTGGGCGCGGACGTGGCACTGCTCATGAAGCCATGCTGAGGTGGCATCCCACATAGCACAAGTAGGGGCACTCACAACTAGAATATAAAACTATGTACTGGGGGGCTTTGGGGAGAAGGAGAAGAAAAAAAAAGAAGATTGGCAACAGTTGTTAGCTCAGGTGCCAATTTTTTTTTTTTTTAAAGTATCTTTGTTTAAAAAAAAAAAATTTGGAAATTCTTCCAAACCCACTCTTGAGTTCCTCGGGGCAATTAGTCAGTGACAAAGCCACAGACTGGGAGAAAACATCTGCAAAACACATATCTGTTAAAGGATTTGTATCCAAAATATATAAACAATTCTTAAAAGTCAACAGTAACAAAACAAATAACCCAATTAACAAATAGGCCAAAGATCTGAACAGACACATCACCATGGAAGACATACCGATGACAAAGAAGGATAGGAAAGATGCTCAACATCATTTGTCCTCAGGGAAATGCAACTTAGAACAATAATGAGATAGCACTACATGCCTATCAGAATGGCTAAAATCCAAAACACTGACAACACCAAGTGCTGACAAGGATGTGGAGCAACAGGAACTCTCATTCGTTGCTGGTGGGAATGCAAAATGCTACAGTCACTTTGGAAGACAGTTCAACAGTTTCTTTAAAAAACTAAACATAGTCTTAACATACAATCCAATACTTGCACTCCTAGGTGTTTACCTAACTGATTATAAAACTTACGTCTACACAAGAACCTGCATGGGAATGTTTACAGCAGCTTTATTTATGATTACCTAAAACTGGAAGCAACCAAGACGGCCTTCAATTGGTGAATGGATAAACGGTGCTACAGCCATTCAGTGGAATGGTGTTCAGAGATACAAAGAAATGAGCTAACAAGCCATGAAAGACATGGACGAATCTTACATGCATACAACTAAGTGAAAGAAGCCAGACTGAAAATGCTACGTATGGTAAGATTCCAACTGTGTAACATTTTGGAAAAGGCAAAGCTATCAAGACTATAAAGAGAACAGTGTTGCCAGGGGTGCTGGGGGTGGGGAAGCAGAAGGGAATTTTTAAGGAGGTGAAATTATTGTGTATGAGACTATAATCATGAATATAAGACATAAGCATTTGTCAAAACTTATGGAACTTGATGTCACAAAGAGCGACCCTTAATGTATGGAAAACTTTTAAAAAGCATTTAGGAGTCAAGGATCCTAGCAGGGCCAGCCTGGTGGCCCAGTGGTTAAGTTTGCATGTTCCACTTTGGCAGCCCAGGGTTCGCCGGTTCAGATCCCAGGTGCAGACCTGCACACTGCTTGTCAAGCCATGCTGTGGTAGGCATCCCACATATAAAGTGGAGGAAGATGGGCAGGGATGTTAGCTCAGGGCCAGTCTTCCTCAGCAAAAACAAACAGGAGGATTGGCAGCAGATGTTAGCTCAGGGCTGATCTTCCTCAAAAAAAAAAAAGGATCCTAGGGTTGAATGCAGAAAGTGAGAAACGAATCTAATTGTGTTAGAAACGTAGGAAACAACCTCACTGAGGAGCAGGGGAGAATGAGGCGCTGACCTAAGTAACTTTGGAAATGAGTAGAGGCTACAGAACCAAAGGCAAAAGGACTTACTCTAGTTGATAAGGTTGTTTCCCACAGGAGCACGAGTTCACAATTCTGTAACCACTGCGCGTGTGCCGCAATTGAAGAAGTGGGTAAACAAGTAGCAGATGGTGGGAGGCAGGTTTCTGACTGTTGCAGCGGGAGATTACAGATAAGCAAGGGGAAGAGGCTACAATGTTCCCTGTGGTAATGGATTCGAGTGGAAGAGATCAATATAAACTTATGTTTGCCTTGATATAGATACAAAGAGTTACATGTAGAAACGATGCGGGCTCAGTGAGCCAAGGAGCAGAAAGAAAGCTTTCTTGGACTCTCAAGGTCTGGCACTAGTGTTGTTTTATTCAGAGCACAGCATGGGGTAGCATGGGGACAGGACCCATGGGCAGTAAGAGCTGCAATGTGTTGACGGTTAAAGCTAAATTTATAAGGCACAGGTATGTGAGTTATTTCTTTACAAGACAAAGGAAAGATCATGTAAAAAAGTCATTAAAATGGTGTCAGTGTAGGTGGGGTCCAGTTATCGGGGGGGTCCTATAACTTTAGATAAGGATCAGATCGGATCAGGTCAGGACATCCTGTGTTTCCGGAGGATGATACAGATCGGTATGTAGGGCAGGTCACCTTGGGCTTCTCCCTGGGGCAGCCCTGATCCTCATCATCAACAGTTGCAGATGTGCACACACAGGGGTTAGCAGACACACATCTAACTCCTTGCTTTGTCCCCTGAGAGCACCTGAAAGCAGGCAGATCCAGTAGCTGTGGTCACATGCAATCTGGATTTCTCCCTGGAGAAAGCCCTTCTCCAGTAAAAGGAACTGTTACCAAAACCGAAGGGGGTCCCTCCTAGCGAGTTAAATCAGACTCTCCGCCAGAAGTAGTTGTCTATCATCTCCAGAGTCATGGCGTCCCCAGACAACGGGAAGCAGGGACATTTATTTGGGATGGGGGATGAATATTCAAAAGGGAGAGGTGGGTATCCTCTTGCGCAGGCTCAGTTGGAAAACACGCTTCCGTGTACACTTCAGGTTACGATAAGAGGCCTAAGCTCCTCCTGGAGAGACCTTAGCATTAACAACAAGGCCTCTCGTGGTGAGGCTTGCTGTGGTCAGGGAGGCTGGTGATGGCATCTCCTTAAAATAACCAAAGGGAAAAAAACAATTTGGAAAAATAGTTAAATGCTTCCAAACCCATCCTTGAGTTTCTGGGGCAATTAGTCAGTGACAGAACCAGGGCTCCTTGGAGAAATGGCAGATTCTAGGACTGGGGCAGGGAATATACAAAGGGAGCCTGGAGGCTCTCGTAGCCCCAGAAAGTAAGGAAGTCCTCAGTACACATACACACAGACACAGACACACACACACACACACACAGACATACACACACACAGATAGACACAGACACACACACACACACACACAGACATACACACACACAGATAGACACACACACACACACACACACACAGGGGTATGTCAAAGGACACAAGGGCCAACGGAAAGAGCTCCCAATGGCCAGAACAATTTGAGCAACCAAACAAACAAAGTAGCACCAGATTATAGTCCAAAGTATAAAATAGATATCCACGAGTCCACACTGATATAAATAAATGAGTAAATAACTACAGGGAGGAGAAGAGAGAAACCTCCCAGCAGAAGAATTCCACACCCTTTGTGCAGAGGCCCATCCCTCAGGGGGCTGCCCAGCCCCCCACTCCTCAGTGGGGGCTGCACAGTGACTCCTTCCAAAGAGGACTCAGGGGCGGGGGGTCCACTTTCCAGCGGAGAAACCTGACCAACACACCTCAACCTGGCAGTCAAGGTCAATGTCAACAAGGACAGTCATGTCGACCGGACATACCCTTGGTACTGTACGGGAGGAAGACATTTCCTCTACCCTCTCTGGGTTCGTCTGGCCGGAGAATGAATTAAATTCACATGAGACAGAATAACAGGAGAAAATTTTAAAAAGCTTTATAACATGTATACATGGGAGAGGCTCAGGCAAGCTGAACAACTCGCCAAAATGGCTGAAGCCCCCATCTTAAATATCATATCCAGCTAAAGACAAAGGAGGATGTTGGGGGTGGGGGGAGTCAGTTACAGGAGGTTACCAGACAAGTACAATAAACAAACACAGATTTAAGTCCTTGCCTTTGGCACTGATTAAGAGTTTCTAAAGATAAGGTCATCCCCCCTTCTTCCTGGTACAGAGAGGGAGACATCTTTACAGATGGAGATTTCCTTTACAATGTAAATGTCTCCTAACAAAGGGCAAGCAAGTTCCACTCCTCAGAGCCTCCTTCCCGTCTGCAGTTTATTAAAAGTAACCAGCCCCAAATAATCCTTGTGCCAAAGAGACATATCTTGGGGTGGCCAATGCCAGTCCCCCACAGTACAATGTTCTAAGGACGGCCTCTGTGGCAGTCCTCCCCAAAACCCGTAACTCGACTCATCAGGAGAAAAACATCAGACAAATCCCAGTTGAGAAATATTATACAAAATACCCAGCCAGTCCTCTGAAAAACTGCCAAGATCATCACAAACAAGGCAAGTCAGAGCAACTGTCACAGCCCAGAGGAGCCTGAGAAGCTATGACGACTGAACGTCCTGTGGAGGCCTGGACGGGATCTTGGGACAGAAAAAGGACATTAGGGGAAAACTGAGGAAATCCAAATAAAGAATGGAGTCTAGTTAGTAACAGTGTATCAGTGTTTATCACTTTTCACAGATCTACCGCACTGAGATGTTAATAAAAGGGGAAACGGGCACTCAGTATGCAAGAACTCTCCGTATTATCTTCCCAGTAACTGTGTAAATCTAAAACTGTTCTCAAATTCTAAAAGATTATTTTTAAAAAGTATGCAAAAGTACCCAACTGTATGTTCCCAATCACAGGCAGTCCAAAAACAGGCAAAGCTAATCGTTTCCTCCGGGGATGGAAGGGGGCCTGGAAGCAGTGGTCTGCATCTGCACTGAGGTGGTGGTTACGTGAGCGGAGACAAACGTAAAAGCTCCTCGAGCCGTATGCTTAAGATGTGTGTGTTTTATATGCGTCACACTTTAATTAAAAAGTGAACACAAAATGAAACAATAACAACAAAAAAGCCAGACATCACCCTCTAGGAACACTGTAGAGAAATTTCTGAGCACCCAAAGAGAAAAATCCCAAAAGCCTCCAAGAAGAGACAGGAAATAAATTACCTGCAAAAGAACAAGTCAGCCTGGCCACAGACTTCTCACCGGTGACGCTGTGCGCAGGAAGATGGTGGCGCAGGCCCTCACGCCCAGCCCACGCTGGCCTCTCTCCCAGGACAATCTGCCCCCAGTCTGTCCCAGTGAGCCCAGACCAGGCCAGCGCTGGCCCATCTGCCTGAGTGCGCTCCTCCAGCCACATCCCACAATCACCCCCACTGCCTCCCTGTATTCACAAATCTCTTATCCTGCATGCCGTCCCATCTCTCTCTAGATCCCTCATGCCAAGGCCGAGGGCCACCTCCCAGAAGCTTCCCTGATTTGTCTGCCTGAGCCAGAGGATCATCTCTCTTCCACTCTCTCCCAGTGACACAGGTCACTACGTCTGTGGTCTTGGTCTTCCCGTTCTGCCCGAGGGGCAGACAGCCTCTGGACACAGACAGAGGATGTGGGATCTGGCATCTGACATCCCAGCTCTGCCTCTCACCCACTGGGTGAACTAGGGCAAGCCACTTCATCTCTGAGCTTTAGCTTCCTCACTTGCAAAGTGGGGGTAGCCACCCTCCTTCCCAGGGTGGTTGTGCGCAAGAGCGTTTGTGGGAAACACCCAAGACCTTGCCTGGCACATAGTAGGCCCTCAATCAATGGCCGTGGCCAGGTGGGAGACCCAGTCCACCGAGACAGGGCGTGCACAGGGACCCGGAGGGAGCCATCAGCTGCCCAGTGATGCCCACGTTCACGAACTCCCCTCCTGGGGCCCCAGAGCCAGGCCTGAGATTTAGTTCATGACCCTCTTTGATTAAGTAATTTTCAAATATGTGGCTTAAGGACAAAATAAAAACCGGTTGGAGAAGTCTGCGCTGTTTCTGGGGAGGAATTCCAACCGCATGCGGCACACAAACCACCCCAGTCGGGTGTGGACGTCTGCAGCATGGGACGCGGGGCTGCTGTGTCTCGGTTTGACGCGACTTCAAGCCCACTTATGTAGGACAAGAGTGGAGCTGCCCCATCTAAGAGTGAGGTTGTCCACGCCGAGGAAGCCGTGCCAGGAAGCCGTCGTTGACATTCGTCATTTGTTGTCCGTAAGCACACAGGAGCGCAGGTGACAGGTGCTGCTGGGGTCTTCTCCACAAGAACTGTGGCAGAGCAACTGTGGCCAGGGAATAGCTGGACTTTAAAGACCAAGAGCTCATGAGAACTTACTGAGAGCGTTCGGTGCGGGCAAGGCGACCTTTCGCTGATCTAAACAGCTCTCCAAAAACCCTGGGATATTCGCTGCTGCCCTGGCAAGGTGACTCCTTGCTAGCATGGTGAAAACCGTGCTGCACCCCGTGAAGATGATCTTGCCCACCAACACCAGCCTTTGTTCCCCAGCAACGTGCTCTACCAACAAGGGACTTACACTTTGCAATGGCAGCTGGATGTCAGCTCTAAGTCGACTTGTCCAAGAATCAGCTCAGAGAAAGGGACACCTCAAGTAAATTTGGACTTTATTTCTTTCCTCTCCCCTTTGCCTGGAACAAGAGTGTAATTAGTCGATCATTGGTTTGGAGTATACAATTTCTTTCTTTTTCTTTTTTTGCTGAGGAAGATTTGCCCTAAGGTAACATCTGTGCCAATCTTCCTCTATTTTGTGAGCGAGCTGCTGCCACAGTGTGGCTGCTGACAAGTGGTGTAGGTCTGTGCCCAGGAACCAAACCCAGACTGCCGAAGTGGAGCGTGCCAAACTTAACCACTAGGCCGCAGGGCCAGCCCCTTTTTATTTCTTTATTGCCTTATTAAGAGACATTATCCTGTATGCTACTGGCTTGTGAAATTGTTATAATCCCAGTGAACTTGTGTTAAATAAATTATCGGCAAAGACAATCTCACAGCATAACCTGTCCACAGACAAAACAGGTACCAGCCTCACGGGTGGGGGCCAACCCCAAACCAGAAGCCAGGTTCTTCTCCAGATCATGCCAGTGCCACCCCGGGTCAACAGCACCAGTTCCTGCCCTTCTGCAAGCTGGGAGCCCTCACTCTCCCATCTGACCGTGGGGAAACAGACTCGCAGAGAGCAGAGGCAGGAGCTCCAGCCCAGGCCTGTCTGGCTCGTGCACACTCCACGAGGACATCCACGTCCACGGAACTGAGGATTCCAAACCAAGGCTCTGGAATGTCCTTGGTCTCCAGGGCCAGGTCCTCAGCCCAGACCCAGGTGAGACAGTGTGGCAGCCAAGCACAGGGGCAGCCCAGGGTTGGCACACTGCAGACTCAGTCTCCTCCTGTCTCCGTCCTCATCTGTCTGTGGGTCCTGTCGGGATTCACCTGTGTGAGACTGGCTCCTGAACCCGACAGCCTGCAGTGACACATTCTGAAGCTCAGAACTCGTGCAGCGTGCAAGGCCACCAAGTGCCTTCACCCAATGGAAACACCTTCAGAGCTGGTGCGCGGAGCTGGTCCACAGACAGAGGAAGCTGAGGAGGGGAATGCTGGCAGGGAGACAGGAAGATGCGCAGCCCCCTCGCCCCAACACACACACTCACACACCTCGGGAGTCAGTGTCAACCAGTCAAAGCCCCGGCCCTGCTGTGGTTAGGGTCACCCCCATCAGGGGAGAGTGAATTTGAAGAGAACTCCCCAGCACTCAACAGATCGTGGGGTAATGTGGAACCCAGGCAGAGTAACAGGTCACCCACATGTTCACGGAAAACCCCCGGCGTGAGAGAGCCCTCTCCATAGGGGTCTCTGGGGGGCGGGGGGGGTCTATTTTAGTTGGTTGTAACTGCATTTTCAGGGGATAGTCAATGCTTGTGGCCCACACAAATCCAGAGAGCCCCAAAGGCCTCAGACACCTCCCTCAAGAAGGTCAAGGGTCCTGTCCAGCAGCTGGCCTCAGACTTCTCTCCTTGGCTTTGCTCTCACGCCCAGGGCATCTTCCTGGATCTTGAGGGGTGGATGCTACCCCATTTCCACACCCCAGGGCAACCCATCACCACCAGCCAAACAGCCCTGGCAATGTGTCATCAGCCATGAAGTGTTTAGACACGGGCCACCCTGCACCTAGCAACTTCAGTTCCGCCACGCCCCACGGCGAGGGAGACAGACCGGTAACACGACATGCCTTTGATGGGGCGGCAGGAGGAGGGCCGGAAAAGGAGGTGGGGTTTCTTATAGCAAAACCCGTAAAAATCAAATGCGCCTTGATTCATCTCTAGAAACTCTGTCTGCATAAATACACCCACACCACAGAATATTCTGACCAACCTCTTTACGTAATCAGCGTTCCCACGTGTCCGCGTGTTCCTGTGAGTCTGGGTGCACGTGTGTCTGCGTACATATGCGTGTGCGTCCGTATACGTCTGCGAGCCTGAGTATCCGTGTGTGAGCGAATGTTCTGGAGGAGGCCTGGGAGGATGCTCCCGAACCGGAGGCCGGGATTCCTTCGCGAGGCAAGGCTGTGGGACGAGGGTGGTTATTTTAATGCTTCTGCCCTGTTTGAGTTTTACCAGCGTGGGTCACTGAAAAGCATAAAAGAAGTCGAATTTAATGTTCTCAAAATCCGTGGACCCCTCGGGGCCAGCATCCCCGCCTCGCGCCCCCTGCCGGCCGGGAGGTCCACCCGCGCCCGCGCCCGCGCCAGCCGGCTCCCCAGGCCGCGGGGCCTCTGCTCGCGGTGACCGTCCCGGGAGCACCGCGGGCCGAGCCCGTCCCGGTCCCCACCCGGGGCTCTCGTGGGGCAGGGATGTGCATGTAGCCGGTGGGAACCGCGGCGCGCGCCGCCCGAGGCCCCATCCCACCCTCCCGCCGGCGACGGCCCGAGATGCGCGCCCGCAGAGGGTCGGGAACCCAGGGCCAGCGTCCCAACGTGGGGAGGAGAAACTCGCTCTTGAAGTCCTTATCTTAACCCCTCTCCCGCCGCCCTATCTGTCCCCTTTCTGGGGAGAGGGGGCGCAACCGGCCCCTCCCTGGGCCCCGCTCAGGGCTCTGCGCACGCGCGCAGCACTAGTCACGCCCCGGCCCGGGCCGGAGGAGGTGCAGAGCTGCTGGGATCCCCCCAGAGGTTAACGGCCTGGTGGCCCGGGCCCGGCGGTGGGAGGAGCCCTGAAGGTGTGGGTTCGGGCCTCCAAGGACGACGAAGAGGGAGAGGAAGGGCGAGATTCCCAGCGGAGGGCGCCGCCGGACAGAGGCCTGGCCGTGGGGAGGGGCGCCTGCTGCGGCCCGGGCTGCGGCTGAGAAAGGGCAATCGCCAGGGGCTCGGAGGGCGCCAGAGGTGCTGGGGGAGAGGCGCCTGGATGAGGTGCAGACGCAAGAGAGGACCGTTAACGGCCCTGTCAAACGAATCCGTTCAAGAATTAATCCTCCTTGAACATTTCTTCCTGGGGCCCTGCTCCAGGGGCCGGCTCGGCAGGGCCTGGGTCAGCGACCCCTGCACCTCCGAAAAAAGCAAGGGCAAACCCGGGACTACAGCTGAGGCCTTGCAACAAAGTGCATGCAGCAAGTTGGTCACTAGTTGAACCAGGGGAGGCGGTCAAGCCTCTCGGTGACCCTGCCAGAGAAACCGTGGTTGTCCTCTGGGAGGGTGGGGTGCAAGAATGGCCTGCTCCAGGAGGCGAGAACAGAGAACATGACTAATATCACCGGGGCTAATCCTTGTGTTGACTTAACCACCCCGCAGCCCTAGCAGCCTGGCTCGTTGGCTCCAGTCTGCCTCCCAGGCCCTGATCACAGCTTTCAAACCCCCTTCACTGACTCACTGCGCCCCACCCCGCCCTGTTCATCCATCTGCCACAGGGAGGATTTACAGAAAGCCAGCGCAGGGTCACCCAGAGAGGGGAAGGGAGAGCCTAGAGCTGGGTCCTGCACTGCCCCAAAAGAGTCTCAGGGTTTGTGGGTACCACCTCTGAGCAGGGTCCCTGACCAGCTTGCACCAAGCCTCTCTCCTGAATGTTCCTCTCACACATGTAGCCCCATTGTTGGCCTTCGAACACCTTCACCGGCTCTGCCTTTGCTCAATCAGTCCCATCTGCCTGGCATGCCCGCACTTAGCCTGGCAAAAGTCCCACTCACCCTTCAAAGGCCACTACCTGGTGAAGTTCTCCAGACCCCTCCCTGAACATGGCTCTCCTTGGCCCTGGCAGGTCGGCTTATCCCAGGGTCCTTGGTGCCAAGTCAGGGCACGCAGCAGGTGTCTAATAGGTGCAGGCCTGGTGCATTCCTCACTGAATACAGACTCAGCCTGCAGTCCCAGCCTCAGTTTCTCACCTGTGAAATGGATGCTGGGGAGAGCAGCCAGGGCCTGTGGTTCCAGGAGTGACCTGGTGCACACTTTGGGACCAGTGGGAACCCACCCCTAGGGATCACCCCCCCTCCCCCAGGGCAAAGGCAGTCACCCAGAGATTTCTACTTGGGGGCTCTGGAGCAGGCTCAGGGGATGTTTTCTCCCTTTGAGACCAAGCCTAGGGGTGCCTCGCAAGTCTCACTTCCTGGGTGCCCACCCCAGACCACAGAGGACAAGAGCTGGAACCCATTTGGCAGGTGGAGACGCCGAGGCTGGGTGGGGAGCAGGCACCCGCCCTGGGTGGACCTGGGAGGAGCGGAGGCACAGGGCCCGGTGACCCCAGGGATGGACCACAGCCACCTGCCTGAGGTGACCTCAGGATGCTGCCAGGGGCATTTATAAACAGCCAAGCCAAACCGCAGATGCCAGTGACCCGTAAACTGAGCTCCTCGGCCTTCTCGGCTGCCCCAGTTTCCCCTTCAGTGCCTTTTCAACAATGGCTTCGACTCAGGTCACAGTCTAGTATAAAAAAAAAGCTGAACGGGTCAAGTTCCCTCAACCAAGACTCACTGTTAATTAATCACTTGCCACATGCCAGGCCCCAGGGGGAGGGGATACAAATATTATTATGATTGTTGTTGCAATAATACAGGGACAAATAATATATATTGATGTTCTGTGAAAGAAGCCACACCCAAGAGAGCACACACTGTGTAATTCTATTTATATAAAGCTCAGAACACAGACCAAATTAATCTGCGATGGTCGAAGTCTAAAGAGTGCCCTTGGAGGGGGCTTCCCGAGAGCTGAAATGTGCTGTAACTCGGTCTGCGTGGAGCCAGCGTGGACGTATGGAAAAATCCCTCTGGTTGCTCACATAAGATTTTGCGCTTTCATGTAAATACACCAATGAAATTAATATAATAACATACCGCTGGTACTAATGATAGTTCCCTGTTGTGAGCCCCTTTCCTGCAGGCAGGCAGGGCTGTCTGCCACCGTGTCCCCAGTGTCAAGTGCAGGGCTGCCACGTGCTGGGTACCCAGGCCCTGGGGGGTGACTCTCGCCATCCATCCTCACAACCACAACGGAGAACCGCCAGTATCCCCTGTTTAAAACCGAGGAAACGGCGGTGCGTGGAAGCCAGGTCTTGTCTGACTCCAAAGCTCCTTCCAGAAACTTCTGTGGCCGCCCCAGCTCTGGGAGGGGAGGCAGAGACGTGAGTCAGAGGATGGAGCCTGAGCTTCCAGTGGGCACTGTGGCTAGTTCCACGGCCAGGCTGAGGGCCAGAGGAGGGAGGGACCGATGCTTCCAGCAGGAGGTGATGTTCAGGCTGAGTCTTAGAAAATGGGCGAGGTTTAAACCACAAAAACTGGAGGGAGGGGGCCGGGCCGGTGGCGCAGCAGTTAAGTGCACACGTTCGCTTCGGCAGCCTGGGGTTCGTTGGTCAGATCCCGGGTGCGGACATGGCACCACTCATCAAGCCATGCTGTGGTAAGTAGAGGAAGATGGGCATGGAGGTTAGCTCAGGGCCAGTCTTCCTCAGCAAAAAGAGGAGGATTGGCAGCAGATGTTAGCTCAGGGCTAATCTTCCTCAAAAAAAAAAAATAAACAAAAAAAAAACTGGAGGGAGGATGGCAGCCCAGGTGGAAGAAACAGCAGAAGCAGAGGCCTCAGGGGAGGCAGGAACCCCGTGTGGTTGGGATGGGGGCGCCCTGGTTGGGCTGGCATGCAGGAGCTGGAGGAGGCTCAGCAGGGGAGTGTGGCCAGCACAGCCACAAGTTGGCACTGGGCAATGCTGGGTTCTTCTGGGAACTCCAGGGTCCTGAGAAAGTTCCAGAATGCTTTTTAATAAGATGATATCGAACATGATTTGCTTTTGCGCTAGTGTCAGCCACATCCAGATTCATGAAAGAAGCTGGAGGAAGAGGAGCATCCAGCAGGATGGATCTGACATCATCCACCTGGCACACCTAGACACAGGGCCTGGTGCCACCTGGAACCCAGGTGACACAGTCCAAGCCCCTGCACCCAGGTGGCTCCTGCTGAGACAGTCAGGGCTGTGATCACTGGCAAGGACACCGCAGCCTCCTCCAAGGGGCCCGAGGGAGGGCAGGCCTCTGCTGGGCAGCCCGGGAGGGACACAGGGTCCAGAAGGAAGAAAATGAAGATGCCCCCAGCCTCCGTCTCAGGCAGGAGCGCTGTTAGCCCTCTGTAGGGCCTGCGGGATGGGACAGAGTTTCATTTTCATTCAAAAAGATGTTGCTACATATAAAGGAACAAACTCAGTTATTTCCTCCCAGGGTAGGGAAAACCCAGCCCTTCCTCCTGTGTGTCTCTCCCGTGAGTCTCCTATACTGCCACACGGAGCATTTCACTTCTGACACGTCTGGTCACCAAATGTGTGGGTTTTCCCCACAACAACAGGCAAGTTTCTGACGCCAGCTGGGTGTCCTACAATTTGTCTCAATTCTGACACTATCTACCTGAAGACAATGTCAGATCCTACAGGTAAGTGCTCAGCCCCACAAGTCTGCCACCCGCACCCCCACTTCAGACACCAGTTATCTCTGTGCTTCTGATCACCCGGCTATAGATCGGAGGTTCCCATGACCCCCTCCTCTGGTTCAATTAATTTGCTGGAGCAGCTCATAGAACTCGGGGAAACACTGACTTGCACTGATCAGTTTCTTAAAGGAGCTGATAAGGGATACAGATGAACAGCCAGATGAAGAGATGCATGGGGCGGGGGGAGCGGCGGCGTCTGGGAGGGTCCCGAGTGCAGGAGCTTCTGTCCCTGTGGAGCTGGGGTACATCACCCTCCCAGTGTGGACGTGGTCACCCACCCGGAAGCTCCCTGAACCCCGTCCCATTGGGATTTCATGGAGGCTTCCTCACGTGGGCACGGTCGATCATTAACTCCATCTCCGGACCCCTCCCCTCTCTGGGGAAGTGGGAGGAGAGCTGCAAATTCCAGGCTTCGAATCATGGCTGGTGGTTCTGGTGACCAGCCCCACTCCGGGAGCCCACCCAGAGTCGCCTCATTAGAGCGAGACACTCCTATCGCCCAGGAAATTCCAAGGGTTTTAGGCCTCAGTGCCAGACCCCGGGGCAGAGACCAAACATGAGAACAAGTGCCGCTCCTGGTGCTCTTATCATGGAGGAAATTCCGATGGTTTCAGGAGCCTGGGAACCCAGGGCAGAGACCAATATATATTTTCTATTCTCTCACACTACATCATGGAATATCTTAAAATCAATGACCTCTTAGACACAAGGATATATTTTTATACATATATCACATATATGATGTAAATTCATGTATTTAGCCTGATATTTGTTTTCATTTAAAATTACATTGTGGGGGCCGGCCCCGTGGCCAAGGGTTAAGTTCGCTTCAGTGGCCCAGGGTTTCGCTGGTTCAGATCCCGGGCGCAGACATGGCACCGCTCATCAGGCCATGTTGAGGCGGCATCCCACATAGCACAACCAGAGGCACTCACAACCAGAATA